AGTCTGTAGGGTCTCACTGCACTGATAGGACTCAGTGATTGTCCTGTTTTCAGCCTCCCAGGTGCTGGGATTCCAGGCTCACGCCGCCACACCAGTCTCAGTCATACCCAGCCCAGGGGCAGGGCCGCAGCAGTTGAACGCCCGTCCCTGCGTTTGCCTGAGCAGGTGCGCATGTCCATGAGCTGTCTGGCCTGCCCGTTATACCTTTCCTTCCTTGAAAAGCGATTGAGACCACATGTGAAAATTATGTGCAACAAGAAGATTAATGAAACCAGCCTTGCAGGACGGTGCAGGCAGGCGAGCAAATGAAGCCAGGGCCCTGCTCATGCCCCAAAATGTATCAGAGATTGCTAGACACGGGTGAAACTTTGCCTTTGTGTCTCTTAGCAACTGAAGGAAAAAAAAAAAGATCTACTAGAAAATTCTTGGAAGCCACAAAGGAAGCAAGAGTCATGAGTTCTCAGAATCCCGAGATATGGCTGCCTTGGCTGTTCAGCTTTGATGCAGCCTCGCCCGGGCAGTGTTGGAACACCTCGTGAAATCGCACAGAATTCTCACATCCTGGACTCCGTCCGGTTCCACATGATTTATGGGGGGGGCAGTACTCGGGATCCAGCCCAGGGCTTTGTACATGCTGTACTTGAAGCAATACCCCAGTCCCTCCTGAAGACAATCTTTTTTTGTTTGTTTATTTTTTCAGAGCCGGGGATTGAACTCAGACCCTTGTGCTTACCAGGCAAGCGCTTATTCTACTGAGCCATCTTCCCGGCCTCCTGTAGACAGTCTTAACAGCATCTGTGTTAGGCCTCTTGGACTGACAGACCAAAACATCACCAGCCAGCTGATTTAAATAACAGAAATCAGAACTAGGGGCACAGCTGAGCAGCATAGTACCTGCCTGGCAAGCACAAGGGCCTGAGTTCAATCCCCAGTTCTGCAAAAAAGAAAAAAAAAAAAAAATCTAGTTTGTCTCAGTTCTGGAGGAAAGGGCAAAGTCTTTTTTTTTTTTTTTAATTTTTTTTTTTTTTTTGAGAGAGAGAGAGAGAGAGAGGTGTGTGTGGCCAGCTCAGCCCACCAGGGGGCGGGGCTGGCTGGCATGTGGTGCTGGGGGATTGAACCGCGGTCCCTGATGCTTTGCTAAGCTTGTTCTAAGTAGGTGCTTTAAACCACTGAGCCATCTCACCAGCCCTAAGAGCGAAGTCTTAAGATTCAGAGGCTGACGAGTTGGGCTTCTAAGGCCTTCCTCTAAGGCCTGAGGATGGCTACTTTTCCCCGTGGGCCACCCTCGCACTGTCCTCTGCAGTGGGCACCCTGGTGTCTCCAAATCCCCTCTCACAAGGACCCAAGCCAACTGGCATAAGTGCCTGCCTGGCAAGGGCAAGGCCCCAAGTTCCATCCCCAGTACAAAAAAAAAAAAAAACCAGACAGGATGCACCCAAATGGCCTCACTTTAACCACCTCTTACAGACCTGATCACCAAGTAGTCATGTTCTGAAACACCGGCAGTTAGCGCCTCAATCTGTGGATTTGAGTGGGAGTAAGAGGACAAAATTGAGTCCATAACTAGCCTTTGTCCCTCGTTGGGACCAAAAGCTGCTTTGCTTGGTTAACACAGCTCGGGGATAATATCAAGGTGATCCAAACACAGAAAAAAAAAAGTTTTGTTTTGGTTTTTGGAGACAGGGTCTTCCTGTGTAGTTCAAGTTGGTCTTGAACTCACTATGTAGCGCAGGCCAACCTCAAACTCTGAAGCAATCCTCTTGTCTCAGGTTTCCCAGTGCTGGGATTGCATTTGTGTGCCACTGTGCCCAGTTTAAAAACAAAATTCTGGAGTTCTTTCTTGGTCCAAAGATAAGGAGATGTAGAGTAACAACAATACACGGGAGTGTTCATGATCTATGACTATTTGCACTTTTGGGGGCCTGATCTAAGTTCTCGGATCCTAATTAGCTTGCACAATGCCCCAGTGACCACTACTCCACACTTCTGGCCTCTGAAATGCTCATAAATTAGGTGAGGTCCGAGACTAGAGGTGTCAGGTACAAAGTGGTACCTCTGGTGTAAAAGAAGTGACTTTTTTTTTTTAGACAGGGTCTTGCTGTGTAGTTAAGGTTGGCATGGGTTAGGCTGGCCTCAAATGTAAAATAATTCTGCCCCGGCCTCTCAAGTGCTAGGATTATAGGAGTGTACCAGCACACCTGACAAGATTTTCTGTTTATAGTCACCTGTCTGCTTAAAGAGGCAGGCTGGAAGGATACACAAAAACTAAAATCAGCTGAGCACTGGGAGGCTAAGACAGGAGGACCACAAGTTTGAGCTCAGCAACTTAATGATTTAATGAGAACCTGCCCCCAAAGGGGCTGGAGCCAGGAAGATCGCTCAGTGGCTCAGCATCTGTCTGGCGAGTTGCTAGGTCCCAAGTTCGGTTGCCAGTACTAAAACAAAAAAGGGCTGTAATGTAATTCAGTGTGAAGATTTTGGATTCAGTCCCCATTACCACGGGGTGGGGATGGAGGGAGGCTGAGAGCACCTGATTTTAAGGTTATGACTTCAGTTACACTTCCCCTAACATCTTCTACACACCCCATTATTTTTAGTCGGGTATAGATCATGAGATATTAGAGGTGGTTTTTCTGGGACGATGTGGACAGCGAGTATTTTCCATGCTGATTAGCTTAGATCCTTGGGCTGGGGAAGGAAGCATCCTATGGGCTGAGCTGAGGGAGGCTGAGGTCCAGGAGTGCAGCTGG